AGTTAATTGTGAAATGTTTGCGCTTTGTAGAGTAAAGTACCGGCAGTTCAAGCATTTTCAGAATCTCTAATTTTCTAAAAAAGACTTTGATTCTCGAACTCATTCTTGTTAAGTACAGCCGCAGTTGTCACCGGAAAAACTTTTACCCTGCAAGCGCCAATCCGGAAGCCAGAAACACGGAAGTGTGAAAAAGGCTAATTATGTCATAATAATGAGATGTCATTTAAATAATATCTTTTCTTGTAATAATGAGATTGTTAAAACAACGTTTACTCGTGAGATAATACGCTCAATATAGCACCGGATGGTTTCTATTCTTCATCTCCGAGATCCCTTTTTATATAGACTTTGATCTCCGGTACATTTGCTCAATTTACTCAGTCATTTCCCTCGAATCACCACATGATAAATAAACTTAAAAATGACAACATTTACGTCCAGATGCACATTTTTTCCAAGAATACATTAAACAATTCTAACTGAGTCCGGTTGAAGCATATTAAACTCAACACAACAACGTAATCTGATACAATAGGAATAAAGTCATGAATCCGAGTCATCTCTTGTTTAATATTTATTTCCCAGGGCACATTATACAACGTACATTTAAACCATCACGTTAATAATGCAAAGGAGAGCAAGTAGAAAATACAATATTAGTTTAATAATAATAATAATAAAAACGCGAAAAAATTAATGTGGAGAGTCATAATGCACAGCCAGCACCAAACGGACAGAAAGGCAAAACTGAATTATAACTGCCACCATTTAGAATTTAACGTTTTCTCGTAATAATGACATATTGTGTCAAAAAGACATCTTATTTAATTTACAGTTCCTCAAATTCATTTGTATAGTTGACTTCTTTGCAACCCATTTGACTTCTGTAATCTGGTGTATTTCCAAGGGAAACGGGATTCAGTGGGCTGAGTATAGCTGCATTAAAGCGGTTTTCTTTGTGAATCACACAGCGATCAATTTCCTCATCGAGACTGGCACCATGCTACATTTCTCCGGTCTGTCTGTCTGTCTCTGTCTGTCTGTCTGTCTGTCTGTCAGTCAGTCTCTGTCTGTCTCTGTCAGTTTCTGTCTGTCTGTCTGCCTGTCTCTGTCAATCTCTGTCAGTCTGTCTCTGTCTGTCAGTCTCTGTCAGTCTGTCTGTCTGTCAGTCTCTGTCAGTCTGTCTCTGTTTGTCTGTCTGTCTCTGTCAGTCAGTCTCTGTCTGTCTCTGTCAGTCTCTGTTTGTCTGTCTGTCTCTGTCAGTCTCTGTCTGTCAGGACTCACAACCCATGCAAGCTAGATAATTCCGCACTCAGCTGCAATTCCAGGTTTTCAAACAGAGATGGCGACAAAGAGGCAACACTTACAGACCGCAGCTTTAAGTATTGAGTTTTAATTTAATTTATTTATTGTTATAATATATAGTAATAATATTTAAATTTAAATTTTTTGTTTTGTATTTAGATTTCTATTCTTCTTAACTTTAATATATATTTTAACCCATATGAAATGTATATTTATTTATTTTTCTGCAAATGAATAATGCATATTTTTATTGTGAACATTTCCAAAAATAATGTTTTAATATGTAATAATAATGTTTTTAATAACATACATTGTATGTATAAAATGTTCTTAATATGTATGAAGTATTGAGTTTCAGAAATTCTTTCTTCCCTTCATAGTTATCTGTTGCCCCACCTTTTGCCCCCCAAACCTGCCCTGGACATCCACGGCTTTCGGCACCAGAGCAACAACTCCATTCAGCGGCATTTTAAGATGAGCTTTGTTCCTGCGGGATTCTGGGAGCGCTTTATAGCCAGGATGCTAATTAGTTTAAACCAGATGGACGTGCAGGTAAACACACACCCTGAGATGACAATCTAACTGACCAATAAAAGTCAGAATTGCAGTCATTGCAAACGGAGAATTAGAGACCACACCCTGACAATGCTTATGGCTGGGAGTCCACAGCAGCCCATGAAACCGCATGTTAAGACGCTTTGCACGCTTTCGCAGTCTAATTTTCCCAAATAGCCCTATACAAAAACTTTTGCAAAATTTGGTAATGCATAGGGCTGTTTGGGGGGAAAATCTTATTGCCATTTTTCTGATATTTATTTTTTTGTTTATTTATTTTTAACAAAATAAATAATTTTTTCAAATAATTTTCTATAAAAATAAAAATCATATATTTAAAAAAAAGAATATATATAATAATAATAATAACAACCGTTTTATTTATAGTACAACTATAAAAATTCTGTTATATTATTGTTGTTAAAAATATTAAGCAAAATGTTGTGACTATAATTGACAATATGACTATAATCATTATATTAATTATATTATGCAAAATAAATATTTTTACAAATATTTTTCAATAAAATAAAAAAATAATATTATAATACAACTATTATTATAGTAGTATTATAATAGTACAACTATAAAAAAAAATATTATGTATTATATTATTGTTGTTTTTAAATAAAAAAATCAACAAAACATGTTTGTTATATTTTTCTGTAAAATTAAAAAGCAAGTATTTAAGAAAAAAAAAAATTATTTATACAATTTTTATATGTATTTTATGTATAGTATGACTGTAATAATTATATTATATTATATTATATTATATTATATTATTATAATGCTTGTACAAGAACAGTTTGGTGACAGCGCCACCTATTGGCCAAAGTGCAAAAGTATCTGTCGCAAAACTTAATGTATTTCTGAGGTCCCACTTTGTACTATTTTGGCCAGTTTTGCATATTGTTTTGTTTGTTTCGCTTTTCCTCTTACAGTGTTTGTTGAATCTTCGCCAAAATTGGTTCAGGTCATACACAGACAAAGACAAAACCACACAAATTCAGTTACTGGATTTTGTTCTCCAGAAAAGCCTTAACAATTTTGCTGGCGAAGACACCAAACAGGAAGTGAGTCATTATCTTGGCAAAGCTTTTGCTTATTGACACAGTTTTTCTTTGTATCAACGCCACATTGACCTGAGAATATCATGCACATTTGTAGCGCCACCTACTGGTCAAAAGTTATAAACCAACTAAATCTGCTCAGTCATTCAGTATCCCATGGGAGGTTTGGCCATGTAGTTGCTACTTGCAGCTGTAGTTTTAATGATTCCTTACATGAGTTCTCAGGTGAAAGTGTCGTTGAGGCCGTGTTCACATGTCTGCCTGGTTTCAGTCGACAGATTTTGATGACTGTCTTTGTGATTTTTCGTAATAGGCATTCGAGACCAAAAGGCCCACGAAGAACCAGAGGAACCACAGTACGGTGATCTACAGCTTTGCGGGGAACCAGCAGCGCAATCGCTGCAGCACTTTCCGCGTCCGGCGCAGTCAGACCGTCTACTGGAAAGAAGGGCTGCTAGTCACCTTTGACGGCGGATATCTGAGGTTAGTAAGGGTTTGTTTTTAGTTTTTATTTATTTTATTTTTTTATATTTAATAAATAAAAATATATTTGTTATCAACATTTCTTTTACTTCATTCACCCAGTGTTGTTAGTTTTAACTAAAAACATGTTTTTGTTCATTGAAATAAAGCTGAATTAAAATACTATATATATAAACAATTAATAAAATAAATGTTACCAAATAAACAATAAAAAGGCAAAAAAAACTAATGAATTACCATTTTAAGCCATTTTTGAGAAAATACATAAATATCATATTTGTTGTCAAAAGGTTGAAAAACAAATAAATAAATAATAATTATTATTATTAATTTAAAAAATAACTCGCTCTATATACTGTATATTAATGATGAAAAATCGAAATGTTGCTTTGACGACTAACTGAAATGAAAATAAATTAAAGCTAAATATAAAATACAAAAAAAGTAATAAACGTTACAAAAGCGCAACAAAACTTAAACTAAAATTAAATTGAAAATATGAAAATAAAAGCTAATTCAAAATATTAATTAATACTGTAATAGTAGATTAAAGGGGTCATATGATGTTGCTAAAAAGAACATTATTTTGTGTATTTGGTGTAATGAAATGTGTTTATGCGGTTTAAGGTTAAAAAAACACATTATTTTCCACATACTGTACATTATTGTTCTCCTCTATGCCCCGCCTTTCTGAAACGCGTC